AGTGTGTTGAGTGCTCCTTCCCTTTGGTTGAGACCAAGACCTAAGTAACTCTGGTAAAGAAAAAAAGGTCTTGCCAGCTGACTGCTTTGACTGCTTATATGGGCTTTATTTTTTCCATTTTTTTTTAATCTTTCTGAGACATGTAGCATTTATGTTCTTCTGACTCAAACCAGTTAGGCTTGTTTTAAATCTCTCTGCTCAGAGCATGAGTAATTTAAAAGGAGCAGCTATTGAAGCTCCAAAGAGTAGCTGTAAAATACTGGTCTGAGACTGAGTTAGCTAAGTTGCATAATAACACCAAGACCCTTAAATCTTTGGCACAAAGTCCCAGTCCTTTGAAGTGTTTTATCCTTTTTCAGTGTATAACAGCTGTTTCAAACCCTTGTTAATGAGAACACACAGTGAGATCAACATGTTGTACATGGGTAGAATTTAGGAGTTGAACTATGATTAGTTTCTTTTCTAATTCTCAATCTGTTATCATGTTTGTATCTATTTTTTTTAAAATTCCCAGTGTAACTTTTCTTCATCATATGGTGATGTCCTATTAATTTTTGATAAATCAATCTGCTAGTTGAACTTCACCTTGCTATCAAGATAATCTTTTATTTGCAATTCCTCTGCAATTCCATATTTATTTCATGTTTTACAATACTACCATATACTCCAAATAGAGGGAGTTGAAAGCTAATTTTTTTTTTTTAATTTTAGTAATAATAATGCAAAATCTGTTTCTTCAGCATAGATTGGAAGGGAACATGAAGGTTGAGGAACATGCACTGCATAAGCTGTATAATTGTATTTATTTGTATTACAGTTATGCTTAGGCTAGATTCCATCCACATAAAAGACCACAAAAATATGTAATATAAGAATAACTTTGGAAGAAGATACTGGTTTATTACACAAAACCGATTATGCTTAATCACAGGTTAGTGTTGTGGTAGGAGCGTGGCTGGTTTGCTTTCTGAGATTTTGGAAAGCTGTTTTCTCAAAGCTAGCTAGACTGTTTTTTTTCTTTAATGGGACAGGGATAGCTGTCATCAGCAATGACAAACTGAGCAGTTGCAGCTTGCCACTTACTGTGATTTCTCTGTCACTGACAGTATTTGTAACCTGGAGGGTGCGTTAGCAGAAGCAGTCCGGGGCTGCTCAGTTGAGGCAAGCTTTACCCCACAGTATAGCTCTACATGTTCCACGAGTAATCAGTTCTTGGTAGTACTTCCTTTTATTAATATTTTTTGAAATTAAATCAATATTATATAGTCAACATGATCATCTTGATTTTCAACTTTATTTTGACCATTTTTAGCTTTACAGATTTATAGCTATAACATGGTTCTTGGTTTCTTTTTAATTTTCAGATGTCAGGCTCCCTTCGCTACGATCAGGAATCTTCAATAAATATGTAACCTTGCACTGAGCAGCTGATGAAGTTTTTATTCTTGGTAGATAAAAATCTATTTTTATTTTGACGGAGCTAATGAAAAATCTGCCAGCATAAGTGACAGTAATGGAAGCTGCTGTACAGAGGTTGTCAAGAAAATCACAAGCTTGGAATTCCCGGGTCATAATTTTAATCAAAATCAAGAGTTTGCCTGTCACACTTTTTTAATAATACAAGTAATTTTTGATCTACGGAACACATGGAATATTTTAAGGAACTCTTGAGTTAAGAGCGGGGAGGCTTTACCTTGTATCGTAGTGAAGACACTGTCTACCTAAATCCATACCTGTGCCGATGGTGAAAATGTACCAAACTTTCCACCACACTAAATGGAGGAGTGTTGGTTTTGTTTCAGTACTCAACTTTGTAAAGTCATATGGATAGGAAGTGGCACAGGAAGGCGTTAAATGATATCGAATACTGTTGTTTCTTTTCTTTCTTTAATGGCCTGGTCTGTCAACAATCCAAATATTAATTACTTCGGTAAATGAGGGCATAGGACAACTTAAAACCACAAACATCAGTCTTTAAAGCAAAAGAGGTACTTTCAACATTGTGGGAAAATCCAACCTGCCAAATCTTTTGCTGGGCCAGACAATAACCCATCTTCCACCGTGAATTAGGAAAGGCTGTTCAGGAGCGGCACCTGAGTTTGGGTGCAGTCCATTCCCCTGGTACTTTCCCATGGTGGATTGAAGGGCCCACATACAGAGGTGGTGTTCTTAGGTTTGTCTAATCCTTTTTTTGTATTTGCTGCCGCTGGCTGCCGCTGCAGTCTCTTGTGGCAGCAAGCTTCATAAGATCACTACCTGCTATGTTAAGATGTGCTGCTTTTTATCTTTAAGCTGGTCTCAATATGGTTTCATCACATTCCTCATTCTAATGTTGTGGGATTTGCCGAGCAATAGTTCTGCAGTCACCATACCCTGCCTTAATGCTCTTATAAACTTTGATCACAAAATCACAGACTGGTTTGGGTTGGAAGGGACCTTAAAGACCATCTAGTTCCAACCCCCCTGCCATGGGCAGGGACACCTTCCACTAGACCAGGTTGCTCAAAGCCTCATCCAGCCTGGCCTTGAACACTTCCAGGGATGGGGCATCCACAGCTTCTCTGGGCAACCTGTGCCAGTGCCTCACCCCCCTCTCCAGGAAGAATTTCTTCCTCATATCTAACCCTCCCTGCTTTCAATTTAAACCCATTACCCCTTGTCCTGTCACTACAGACCCTTGTAAAAAGTCCCCCCCAGCTTCCTTGTAGCCCCTTCAGGCACTGGAAGGGGCAATAAGGTCTCCCCGGAGCCTTCTCTTCTCCAGGCTGAACAAGCCCAAATCTCTCAGCCTTTTGGTCTTCCGCTCTTCAAACTGAAGAGTTCCAGTTTTTTTAGTCTCTTTGTAAGGCAGCTGCTTCGTCCTCTGAATCACTTGAGTTGCCCTTCTCCGTACCTTCTCTTAACCCTGTTTCTTGAGTTGGAGAGGCCAGAACTGCCTGGTAGACCAGTGTTTTATATAGCAGTATGATGTAATTTTTCTAAAGATGTCATTTAAGGAGTTAATTTTAAATGGATGATTTGCAGAACAGATTTACTTAGAAGCTATTGGTTTGATCTTAGGGATACTGCTGTTTTAAGGGGTAAGTAGATAACGGGGGAAATGGCTTATGTAGGCGTAAAAATTGATGTAGTGAGTTAGTTAATTCTTCAGTTAGTATAATTGAAGGCTTAGGGAGATTTATGTTCTTTGAACAGATTTTAAAATTCCTGAAAATATTCAGTACAATGTGTGTTCTGTGTCTCCTAGTACACATAGGGAATGTGGATTTCATTCAATTTTGGAAATTCTTCTAGTAGATTTCCAGCTGTGTATGTGGAGTACTGTTTCCTTGGAACTGAATTTCTCTGGTCTTACGTCTTCTGACCCTTGATAAACACACAAGTCATCTACTCATATCCTGTGTGATGAGCTTCTGAAATCTCAGCGATATGAAACAGAAGTGCTGCATGGTGACAACAAACAACTTTGAATAAATGCCTGTATTTGCCAACTGATTAAATCTATATCGTGTAAAACTATCTTAGCTTAGGGTCTGTTGACAAAATTGCAAGCAATTATAAAAGCGTTTGTGGTGAGCAGACCCTTTCAGCTGGGAATTGCTACCCCTTAGCTAGAGCAGGAGGGCTGACTGAATTCGCCAGTCCAGGTTGTTGGCTTGTGAAGTGAGATAAATCTAAACTTTCAGCTGTGATGTTTCATCTGAGAGCGTTGCTTTCTTGAGAGCATTAATTCAATTGCTTTGCATTTGTTGGACCATGTTCTTAGTTTATGACGTTAGGAAGGTTGCGATGTATGTACATTGCAGCGATGTTTCTCATTTCAAGGAAGTGGTAGGAATATTAAAGTGCTTTCTGCTTTTGTTGTATTTTTATTACTTGCCTAAAAGTTAACGGAAGATATTTATAAACTTTAGGCTGGGTCTTGGTTAAGTCTTTAGAAGGTTTGGAATAACTTCAAATGATGTTTATGTCACATTGTGTAGAAGTTGTATTATAAGATTCAAATCACGTTATTACACTACAGATTGGAAATATTCTGGAAATATTAAAGACCATTTTTGGAATATAGTATGCAAATGTACTCGCTTGTTCTCATACCCTTTGTGTGCTTCAAAGCTGAAGAAAATGATTTTCAAAACCTGTGCAATTAGTATGGTGTCATTTCATCTGATTAAGTGGAGAATTTCAGTAATCAGTTGGATCATCCCACACACTGATGAAAGCAGCATACGTGTTTAAAATATTCTAATTTGTGCTTTACTCATGTAAAAAACTGGGCTTTATGTAGGCAGGGTTCAGCCTGCAGTGGAAAGGTTTGGATCAGCGAATCGTTTTTTAACTAAAAATATTTGCCTGGTAAAAATATCCCTAGCTGTTACTGTTCTCACAGTTTCCATATAATAATTATTCCTATTTATAAGCTGATTTCATGCTGAAGGCTTCAGTTCGGCAACGCGCTTGAAGCCATGCATAACTTGCATCATACTGGATGATTCCCTCTAAAGGCATAATTCATGTGCTTGAATCAGACACACATTTAAATACCTTGTTGAATTAGTGTCTCTGTGGAAATTGTTTTTCTCCTCCACATAAGCAGATTCTGGGGCTGGAAATGACCTTGTCAGATGGTTTTTAACATTTTTTTTCGTGAATTGTGCCACCATCAGTTGTTATTTTAATGTTTGTGGGTTTGCAGCTCTCTAAACACTCAAATTATTTTTGTCTTCGTCTTCACAATTATTATTTGCCTCTCAACTGCCTTTTCATTTTACATGTAAAGTTAGCTTTTTGCCAACAGTCATTGTTAAAAAAAAAAAAAAAAAGGCAGTGCGAAGTCTGGTTATCCAGAGAATTAGTCTCAATTTAATGTGAAAAGATACAGATGTAAATTCACCGTTATACGAGATGTAACATAAATTTTAAAAAGCATAACTTTAATCTATTTTCATAGCTATTTATATATGTATTTACCTTGTCTTCTGTATTTTAATATTTTTCAGACAAGTATAAAAGAAGGATTACTACTGAAGCAAACCAGTTCTTTTCAGAGGTGGAAAAAGCGTTATTTCAAACTTCGAGGCCGTACCCTTTACTATGCTAAGGATTCAAAGGTAATTCTATGCTAGTAGCACCTAATGCCATATACGTGTAACTTCTGTTTTGTTTAGATTTGTAAATCATAGGATCATAGAATGCTTTGGGTTGGAAGGGACCTCAAAGACCATCTAGTTCCAACCCCCCTGCCATGGGCAGGGACACCTTCCACTGGACCAGGTTGCTCAAAGCCTCATCCAGCCTGGCCTTGAACACTTCCAGGGATGAGGCATCCACAGCTTCTCTGGGCAACCTGTTCCAGTGCCTCACCCCCCTCTCCAGGAAGAATTTCTTCCTCATATCTAAACCTCCCCGCTTTCAATTTAAACCTGTTACCCCTTGTCCTGTCACTACAGGCCCTTGAAAAAAGTCCCCTCCCAGCATCCTTGTAGGCCCTTTCAGGTACTTCAGTTTCAGGATTTTTAAGTGCGATAATAATAATACAGTGAATTATCAGTGATTGTTTTATTTTAAAAATACTGTGTATGAGTTGTGGTATGCTAAATTAAGGAAGACTGGTGATTTCTCTTGATTTTTTTTTCCCTTTTTTTCTCAAATTTATCAATTATTATATTTGGACTATTCAGAAAAATAGTAAATTCATCTTAAGGAGTTTTTTTTTATTTATTTGGGGGAGGTGGCTATTAAGAAGACAAATCTAACATTTCAAAAGAAAAGTAAAAATTGGATAACTCTTAGTTATCTCTCAAACTGAATTCCATTAAAACCCTTCTAGTCTGATGCCCGTATTGCCGTTGAAGAGATGGAAACGGTTATGTAAAATCAAGATTGGAAAGTTTTCTGTGAAAACTGATTTAGAAGGGAAAAAGCTGTTTCCCATCAATTGAAATTTTTGATGGGAAAATTGGGGGTGGGCAGAGGGGAATACTTATCATCTTTCTGAAAAGGCATTTCCTCCCTCCCCCTCAGGACTGGGACTGAGAGCATTTTGGCTTGTTCTGCTGGCTCAGATTTGCTGTTCTGTAGTGGTGGGCATTGCTTTTCTTTACCCTGTGGGGTGGCAGTGACGCATGGGAGCGGTAGGTGAGGTGCCTCAGGTCTCAGTCGTCTTCTGTAGCCTGGTCTTCTCAATGAAACTGTTACTGAGGCGTGGAGATCTCTCTCTCTAGGACTATATGACTATAATCACATGGTTACCCAGTTGTGTGGCTGTGATGCATCAAGGCAAACATGGTCTCTCCAGGGAGCCCAGCACTGAAGTACCTCTGTTGTCACGCTTCCCTGCACACGCTGCTCCCACGAGCAGTTCATATAGAGTCGTAAGAAACGTGGCATATAAAGGTCTGAGAATGGCAATGTCATCTGTGCCCTAAAGACGAGACAAGGAGGTGTAATGAATAGGCAGTTGTACAAATGCTCTGTAGCGTTGAATAGACATGCTGCAACTCCCCCAGCATCGATTCTTCTTCCTGTGCCATGGAAGGGGAAGAGCATGGTATGGTCAAAAAATGGTTCTTCCCTTCTGTGCTTCAAGACCCATCTTGAGTTTAACAGAACGTAATTAAGCCTTTGCCAGAAGCTGGAGTGTTTAAAGATGGGATATACTTCTCTTGCTGAAACATCAGACAAAAGAGTGGAAGGGCCCTTGATCTGATTAATTCATTTGTATTTTACTGAGAGTGAATCTCTTTCCTCTGGTACCACGTTTATGCTACTAAGTAGACACCCCAGAGCTAAATCTATTACCAAAAAAAAAAAAAGAAAAAAAAAGAAAAGAAAAAATATTTAAAAGAGATTTTAAAACAATGTATATTTTTTGAGCTACTTTTTAATGCTCTCATATACCACTTAGGTAGCAAATAGGACTGTGTTTAGGAGTGAAATAGGAAGTTTTATCACATCATCAAGTATTTTCCATTTTTTCACCAATTTTTATTTTCCAGTTGGAATGGGCACAAGTAAATGAAAGCACAGGCTGTAAACATACCTGAAAGTGGACTCAGATTATATTTAATGTTTTTGTGTTCTTTTCCATTCACAGTCTCTAATATTTGATGAAGTTGACCTGTCAGATGCCAGCGTAGCTGAATCAAGCACAAAAAATGTCAACAACAGCTTCACGGTATGGAGCCATAATAATGTTGGTCTTGAAAGCTATAGATAGGCTGTTACTAAGAAAATCAAGAGTCCTCTGAATAGCTTCTTATTTTCCACTATTTGGAAACAGAATGTCCTTTATTTGGAAATGGTGTAGTCTATCGGAACAATATCAGATCAGCTATTGATAATTTTGTTTCTGTGATTTTTTTTTTTAATCAGAAATTGAAATATTAGATAACAGTTGCTTCAAAAGATGCTGAGACAAGGCATTAAAAATTTACCAAGATTCAGTATTAGTGCTTAATTAGTACATATTAGTCCAGCTTGATTTTATGTGGTAGTTTGTCTTTGAGGTGACATGTCGGATCGATTAAAATGTAATCGTGGTACTGTTTTAATTTCTTACAATAACGTTTTGGTTTTCTGTCTTACCGAAGTGTGTGGTTTTTTTCATTGTATCTCCCTGTATGTTTCCAAGTCATATGGAAAAGCTTTCTTCACAGTTGTACCTTGACCCTGATACAGATATAAGAAAGAAAGACTGTTCATTAATCTCTTTCTGTAGGTTCACAAGAGTGTTCTACACACAAGTCTTGCCATTTATTATTTGACTGCTTTGTTGGAACTAATTGATAATGTCTGACACAGTTCCTCTGCTGATTCCTAACTTCTGGAAAAGTAAATTTCTTGAATAAGACCTGGCTGTGAGGAAGATTGTGGGTCAAGTTATCCTTCCAAAGGTCTTGCATTCTGCTGACTGCAGTGGCATTGTTTTTCTTAACCTGCAAATCCTGTTATTGAAATGCTGGTTTTCCATTTTCCTTGGGATTTTAATTTCACAGGTGGTGCATGTTACCAATGTTGGTTGTTCTTCTCCAAGGCAGTCCAATGCAAGCCTCCTGAAAGCTTCAGCAGGTCTTCCTTGCTCTGGTACCTCCCAGGCACCTATTGAAGTAGTCAGAGCTTTTCAAAAACCTGTTTGTGTTGGCCTGCACAGTCCCGTGTGTTACGTCAGTCTGAGTTTCTTTACTGGCTAAGATTCATTTAGAAAGACTGCTTTGATGGAAGATCTCAGATGAGAGGATGGCTGTGTGAGGTACCAGCTTGCCTTTTGAAAAGGTTCTTTCTGTTGCTTAGGAGCTCTGCGTCAGCCTTTCTTCTGGTCAGAAGTAAAGCTGGCATGCAGGCATCAGGACAGCTGAGGAATGATGAGGCATACAGAGATGATGAGTTGAGGATTCCGGCAGTGTTGACTGTCACTTTTTACTCAAGACAGCATATAAGGCTCAGCACCCCCTAAAGAGCCAAGTTCTTTCATTGTAACCTCTGTTACAGTAAAAAAATATTAAGAAAACTCTGGCTGTAATGTTACTAGTGATCACTAAATCATGAAAGAAGACATTCATCTAGAGATCTGGATAGACCAGAGAACTGAGCAATCATCAACTGTATGAAATTTAAGAAGAGCAAGTGCCGTATTCCCCACCTGAGACGGGGTAATCCTGGTTATACGTACTAACTGGGAGATGAGAGGCTGGAGACCAGCCCTACAGAAAGATCTGGGGGGGTTGGGTGGATGACAAGTTGAGTATTAGTCAGCAGTGTGCCCGGACAGCCAAAAGGGCCAACCGTGTCCTGGGGTGCATCAAGCACAGCATAGCTACACGGTGAAGGGAGGTGATTGCCCCACTCTACACTGCACAGGTGCAGCCCCACCTCGAGTACCGGGTGCAGCTTTGGGTTTCTCAATGTAAGGACATCAAGCTAATAGAATGTGTCCAAAGCAGAGCTACCAAGATGGTGAAAAGTCTTGAGGGTGAGACTTCAGAGGAGCAGCTGAAGTTACTTGTTCAGCTTGGAGAAGGTGAGGGAGGGCCTCACTGCAGTCTACAGCTTCCTCAAGGAGGGCAGCAGAGGAGGAGGTGCTGATCCCCTCTCTGGTGACCAGTGATGGGACAGAAGAAATGGAATGAATCTGCCTCAGGGGACATTCAGGCTGGAAATAAGGAAGAGGTTTTTCGCTGGGTGGTCATTCACTGGAACGGGGAGGTGGTTACACCCCCAAGGCTGTCAGAGTTCAAGAAGTATCTGGATGATGCTTTTAGCCATAGGGTTTAGTTTTAGGTAGTCCTGCGAGGAGCAGGGAGTTGGACTTGGTGATCCTTATGGGTCTCTTCCAACTAGAGATACTCTATGATTCTTGCTGTAATTCTGTGTGGGGAAGCAAAGGGGGCATATTTTAAGGTAGGGTTTGGGTTTTTTTTCATAAAACATGTGGTGTCTTGGTATCCTTTATAATGCTTTGGGCCCACTCAATATCTCATTCTTCACCAATGGCATGTTTTTATCTAGTATCAGGACTTCTGGGGAAGACAGTAGTGGAAAATCTCAGGGGCTACAGCTTTAACAGCTTTGGAAACACTTTATTTTCATGTCCTGGGTAATTTAGGGCAAACAGTTTTTTTCTCTAAGGAGTCTTCAAATTCATTTTGAAAAATTATTTGGATTTATAGCTCTCCTGGATTGAAATGTCATCTGATTTGACTGTGAAATATGGTAATAGTCGTCATCTTGCTTAATCTTTTGGCTTCTTTCTTTGTGTTTGCCTAACCCAGTCTCCCAGCAACACAGCTCAGTGAAGTGAGACATCTCTGGCCTTGCCTGCACTGGTTTGAAGTCAGGGAGGTGGGGGTGGGGTGGGTGGTTACCTTTGCAGCAATACTCCTTTTGAATAAAAAGAAATGTTTATTTTTGCTTTTTTTTCCTCTTTCCATCTTAAAAAAGATAATCCAGCCTTTCTTAAAATTACTTATTTTTTTGTTTGTAAGTGCTCTATTAGCATTCTCTTTGTTAGAAAAAGAAAACATTATATGCTTAATTTAGCTTTCTCTAGTTAATGGACTCTTTTTGGTTCTTTGTCCCAGTAGAGAATATTTTTAACAGGAACTTATGTAGATGGAATATACACCAAATGATCATTTTTCCAGGAAAACGCACTTTTAAAATTTACATTAAAATGAACTTTTTTTATAACAAATCTTTTTGTCATTTCATTTAAATCTCCTCCTCAGTCTCCCACCCCCGGTTTGTAGAAGCTGCTGGTTTGCCTTCTTTTGCCCTTTCTAGTTTGTCTGTTTGGAGACAGAGGTGTGCATGTCAAGATTTTCCATGCTCTTTTTTTGGACAAATCTCAAGTCCTAAAATTAGTCATAACACACAAATTTAAGGTTGAGTTTATTTGTAATGCACATGCTTGCAGAATATTTTATGTAACTGAATATCAGTGTTTATTCACCAGATTTACTTTTCCTTTCTTACTACAAACAAATTGAGGTTAAGGGGAAAGTTGAGATAAATAAATATCAGCTAATTAAAATGAGAAGCTGCTAAACTTAAACTAGCTCATCTGTTTCAATTTTTTCTTTATTGCTGATGCTGTTTTTCAATGAACAGTGAACAGGAACTATGTTTCAATGAACAATGAACAGGAACTAGCAAGTAGTTCCTAGGGAACAAGCTTGCACTAGGGTGCCTTGTAGTAGATTTTTGTAGTTCTGAGCATCCTCATCTAGAGGCTAGTGGAGAGAGGAAAAGATGTCCTTAGACTTCAGTCTTTATAGGAGACCCTCAAGGCCAGATTCTTCCTACTTGCTTGTTAGTTACCAGTCTCCTAAGTCGGTGGGAAGAGAGAGAAGAAGTTCAAGAAGGCAATCAGCCCATCAGAGATACGCATCACTCTCTCCATCAGCCACATCAGAGCCCACGGGGGCTTTTGTTCTCCCTGTGTCTGAAGTTCAGTGGCGTGGGTGGGCACTGAGTCCCCATAATGGTGTTGAGGACTCTGCTGAATGTGCTTTCCACAGTTTTGGGCCTCAGTGGGTGGTGTATGTTGTCTCAGCATGACCCAAGGCATGTACCTCCTCAGGTATATCACCTCCTTGAGCATATCACCTCCTTGGGGAGAACTCTGGGCCTGAATCAGTCTCCCATCTTTATTGCACACAAACAGATGGGGCGGTGACCAATTCTGCCGAGAGCTGCAACTCCCCATGCGTTTTGGTTTGGATATCTCAAGTGCGTTAAGATAAATCTCTTTATTGTTCTCAAAACAAGACTTGAGACTGAATGAGGCTGAATAGTGCTCTCCAGCAGGAAAGTGTAGGCATGTGGAACATCGGTGGTGTGCTGTTGTTGTAATAGGTATAAGGAATGGAATTTTTAAATACTAAAATGATTCTTGAACTGGCATATTCAATTCATGAAGTTCCTCAGGGCAACAAAGGCAATTACGAATTGTGATTTAAAAGGAGATTTTGATAGGCTAGCTTTTGGCTTAGGTTTCTACCTCTGCCTTGCTTCTGATGATGAAGGACTTCTGATGCACTTGGGTGATGAAAAAATTGTGTAGATGTTAGCCATGCTGCCTTTCAATTGCTGAGCCACATGGACGTGTAAAGTGGTCTGGGTTATTATGCATCTATCCTAGAGTCTCATGTAAAATGCGCAGGCATCATGTAGCAGCACCTATATTTTGTCCATCCAAAGACATGTTTGAAACATTTAAGCCAGCTGTGATAAATATGAAGGAAAATAATAATTTCAGGGTAGAAAGACAGGTTTTGAAACATTACTTTGTATAGCTGGCTTTAGATGTTTGATATAGGTTAGGCCAACCTCTAGCCCATTAAAGCTTTTACACAACACCACAGAAATTCAATTGCCTACTAAATGTATATTCCAAAAGTGAAAATCTAGATCAGATTAATTCTGATACCTAATTGCACCTGAGAGTAACGGAGGAAATACTTTTGCTGTTGTTCTGGAAGGTGCTGTCCAGGATGCTGGATATGAGCGTACTAGATGATGAGGATTCAGCTTACCCTAGCTTCAGGATGGCATTAAATGATGGGTTCATAGACCCCTATATTTGGACATGTAGGATAAGATTAATAGTTCTTTAAAGTAGATTCCTGTAATTGCTCAATTCACTATAGACTCCACTGATTAATAACTAATTCTGTC